GGTGGGCTTTTCTAAAGTTTTGAGTGAAGACCAGGGACTCAGCAAGCCCATTTTATTTCTCATATAAGCTACATTCTTCAGCAAACGTTTGTCAAAAATGGTGGTTCCCAGCTATGGGTTCTTTTGCCTTATTTTCAATAGGTTTTGAATCTAGGTTGGCGAGAGTGGTGGTATTTAAGGACATCCTCAAAGATCCCAATGCTAAGGTGGGTGCTTTTTCTTAGACTATCACTATTTTATTTTTCATCCTTATTACATTTGACCAATTTTTCAATACCCAGCTGAACCATATTTTACATGAAATTTCCAACCCTCAAGGCTTATGAATGAAATCTTACAGTGCTTCCTGGATTTGTATCATTCATTTTGTAAGTTAGTCATTTATTATACTACCAGGTTCCTTAAAAGCAACAAGTGCTATGTCTTATATTTATGTTTCTTAAAAAATTTAAAAATTTACTTATTTGAGAGGCAGACACACACACACACACACACACACAGCTCAATCCAGGTCTCCCACATGGTTGGCAGGAGCCCAAATACGAGAGCTATCATCATTGCCTCTGGTGGTATGCATTAACCAGGAAACTGGAGTCAGCAGCTGGAGCAGGGACTCAAACCCAGGCACTCCAATCTGAGTTATGGGTGTTTTAACTAGTAGTAGCTAGATGGTCCCTGAAGGAGTCTGTGGCAATTGCAGAAGAAAGGAAAGGTTACTATGAGAGTGTCCCTGAGGTGTGTGCATCCACCCAAATTGCGACTTACGTGTAAGTAGTGCAGCTTAATCCTATTGTGTTCTGTATTTACATGTACTTTCCAACTTTCCCTTATGAAAAATACGTGCAATGCATGGTCTGACAGTTAGAAAGGCTAAGAGAAATGCCAGCTGAGGGAGATAACGTTCCTGATTATGGTCTATTGGTCTGCAGAGTGTTTTGATTTTCTGAATTAGTCCAAAGACCACAGGGAAAAAAAAAAAAGGAAAACACTACTACCACAGGAAAACAATGAGGAACAAGAGTCCTGAAACTGGTGTCTGAGCAATGAAAGACAGTGAATATTTTAAAGATCACTGAATTTAATTTATTCAACCTAAATGCATAAAAGTACAGGTGGGGACATTATTTATGCAGGTATATGCAAATCACTTTATAAAATAGGCAAAGCCCTTCTGCTTTTTATAAGTTGCCAAGGTGGTTCCTGATATTTTAAAAAGCTATGCACCTTTAATGTAATTTCCCCAGAGCTGGAATCCCTCTGTTGGAATCACAGTCATTGTCAAAGCAAGTTTATCCCCCCCCCCCCCCTTCTCTGGGACAGTCACAAGGCTCTTATAACCATCACGAAAAGCGTGGTTTCCACAGAGAAGTGACTGGAAAAATCTTTTGGAAATTGCTGAGGAGCAAGTCACAGTGTTCAAAGCAGAGAACATAGGCTTTGAAAACATGAACCCATCTGACCTCTTGAATTTAGCACAGTGAATTCCTGAGCTCTGAAACATGGGGCCCGGCTGTGCATGCCATATTGGTGCTATAAGACTGGCAGTAGGTTGGCTGTGGCATGGTCTATTTCAAACTCCTTCACAGTGCCCAGTGTTGCATGTTCCCAGATGACATTTGGTTGGCAGAAGCTGGGCCTCTAAAGCTGGCAGTCTGGAATGCAGCCCACTGTGTTTTGACAAACACATAATTGACCATCTGATCACCAGCCTACGTTCCACACTCAGGTCACTGGGGGACCTGGGCTTTCAATAGGTCTCTACTCCTTGTCTTGTTCATCTTCTCAAACCTTTCTCCAGAAAGCAATATAGAGAAGAGTTAAACACACCCACGCACATCCTACCATTTGCGAACGAGAACAGGGTACATGAGACATAAGCTGCTGAAATTTTCCTTTAAACTGTCCTGGCAGCCCAAAGTGAACAAGAGAAAAGCACACTTATGGTGAACTCTAATTCAGAGAGAAGGAATGAATATACTGAATTGTTTCAACACCCGGCTGTGCATAAGTTGCAATTCAGTTCAATGGCTTGGAAATTCTGCTTAGAAAAAGGCAGCAATGGGAAAATGATAGGAAATTGGGGCATTGATTGACTTTAGGGGGATATTATTACGAAACAGTTTCATTTCCAGGTGAAAGAAGAGAAAAGCAGGACACAACGAATGTCTTCTCCTCACCTGCCCTCCTCCTTCCCCGTGCCCTCCATGGGCAGAAGGAGACACACACCCACCCCACCCCGCCCTCAGAGACCAGGGGACAGCAGCTCAGACTGAGGTCAGATTCAAATTGAAGTCTCCAGTGAGGCTCCCATGAGGAAGTATTTTGGTCTGAAATTTGGCTCCCCACAACATATCTGCCTTTCTCCTAGAGGGCAAGGATTACGCAGTTAACCAAGATATGCTAGAATTATGCAAACGTTAATGCCTGTGACAACACTACCAAATAGCTTCTCCTCTCCATTCCATCCCTACCGCACAGCTCAGGCCCTTGGTTTTCACTCGTGTTTCTATTCTCAGCCAGTTATCTCTATTGTCACCAGAACACTCCTTCTAAATCATAAATCTGCTTAAAATTCATCAAAGCCTCCTTGATTCTGCTGCAGCAGGCCCAATCTCCTTTGCATGGCATATACCATCCGACCCCATCTCTCGCACTTCCTCTTTTGACTACCATGCTCTAGCCACCCAACTACTGAGCTCCTCTATCTGGCTGCCACTTGGTGTCTCTTGAATTTTCTTGTTTGCTTTTTAGTTTGAGAGGCAAAGAGATCAAGAGAGAGTTCCCATATGCTGGTTCACTTCCCAATGCCTGCCAATAACCGGGGCTGGGCCAGGCTGAAGCCAGAAGCTGAGAACTCAATCCAGGGCAAGTCTGTGCCTCTTGCTTTAAATCAGCGTGGCAGGTGACGGAGGGCTCCTCTTTGTTTCTGCTAAAGAGGAATGGAACAGAAAAACTCGGGGGAATGCCTGGCAGCTATTCAGATCCTATTGAAATCTGGGTCAAATCCAGACTGGGACATTGGACTAAATGCGGTACCAAAGACAGAAGGTCGGATGGGTTGAATTTTGCACCTGTCTAGAGGAGGCCATTAAAGAGCTTCTTGGAGCTCGAAGCACTGGGGAGATAATGTTCTGACTTGTTCCCAAGGAACTTTTCTTTTCCTTTTGATGGGTCTCAGGGGCACCACCCTAGAGCCATCAGCTGTGTCCATGGGGCGCTTAAGGACAGTAGTGCTGTCATAGGCCCTGTCACCCTGCTGACATATGGGCAGCCTCAGGATTTGGAACAATCCAAGCAAGCATGAAGTCTGGCCCAGGGGAGGGATGAGGTCATGAGGACTTGAATGGACTATCAGCTCACTCCAGGACTTTCTCCCAGCCTTATCACTCGGTAAAACACTGGATTTTCCTGGACACTGCCCGACTGGTGGTTGGTATAGCATAGAATCAGTGTCACACTTTGCTATGAGCCAGACACAGCCATTCAATTATGTTTTTTTTTTTTATCTCGAAGGTCTCCCCCTCGATTTCTAATCAATTACACAGTCCCCTGTACTGCTTGTGTCTGAGGCGTGCCCTATAGCGCTGACGTCATAATAGCTGAGCCAGGCGGGCAGGAGTGCACTGTGCTGACTCATCCCGGTGATGTGAGGATTAATGTCTTGTCTAACACAGAGCTATTATGTGAACTGTTTTTACACAAAAGAACTGTAACAGAAATGATTTGCCAGTCAGAGGACTGGAAATACGCAGTGCTAGGTGACTGAGGGAGGGGTGTGGGATGTAAAGTGCTAGCCATAAGCACCCACATTGACATCTTCCACAGCGTTCACAGATCTGCTCTATAAGCTCTGAGAATAGGGAATAAAGAGACTTGTTGGGGGCAAGCAGGACCTACCTCTGTTGTATAAATGCATGATACACAGCACAGTCTTTGGGGAGTTTAATCAATCTCCCTCCTCTGTCAAATACAATATCATGTCAGACTTGAGCTTTAGCATCCTTGGGGGATTCTGCTCCCTTAAATCTATCTGCCACTGGCTTCTAGGAAATGTTGGTGGGAACCTCCTTTCTGTGCAAACGATGCCAGCCCAAGAAAAACCTCGGAGTGAGGAGTCAGTGCAGTCAGAGATCCTGCTGTAAACAGGGACAGCCCCTACCACAGGATGAGATATGGCCACGAGGAGGCCGACCATTGTTGAGCACATTAGGTGACAATCACTACCCAAAGGCCCTCTCGGGTAGTGTCTCTTATAGCGACTTTGATTACTTGGGTTCACTACCCCAGACCCTCATTCAAGCAGCTTAAAATAAAATTTATCCAAACCCACTCAGTTTGGACTAGTTTGGGTTTTACTAATAAATGTTCTGTTTCTTTTTTATTAATCTGAAAGCATTTATTACTTTTTCCTAAATGTCTTTCCATCTTTTGTTTAAAAAAAAATTCCTTCTCTAAACCTCTTGGTACACATGAATCCTATATTTCTTTTTTTCCCCCAGACTATTTATAATTTTTACACAAATTTTAGCTTATTTACTTTTCAGTCTTATACTTCATGGTAAAAGGATATTAGAAATTTTGTCAATAAAGGAAAGCTCCGATCTAAGAGTTGAAGTTACAAACCATTGGCCCTAAGGATGGGTGCATAACTGAAGAATAATAATTGCTCATTGATGCTCAGTGGAGCAAAAGCCCAACTGTTGCTGGTGTCTAACTGAAGAATGCAGGCTGCGGTTTCGAAGAGCAGTGACTTCTGCAAACAGCAGCTGCAGCCAAGTGAAGGGCCGTCTTTATAAAAGTACAGTGCTCGGGCCGCGGGTCTTTCCAGCCTCCCGCTGGAAGGCAACTCACTGCTACCACCAACAGCAGCAACTCGAAACACGAAAGAAACTAATGCACACGAAAGCAGCGCCAGAAACCACAACAATGCCTACTAAAAAATGCCAACAAAGACCAAAATTTCCCAAATCTGAAAATGTAAAAAAACCATTTTTACTTACATAAAGAGAAGGGGCAGGCCACCAACTGCTGGTCAAGGAACTGTAAATCAAAGAAGAAACAAGGAATCAGAAACAAATGTGACACTACAGTGGGGAGAAGGGAAGCAAATTGGAGTGTAAATGGGATTGGTTCTTTCTACACCGAGTCCACTTTGTCATCTGTAGTCCCTAAATAAAGGAGATCTGGATTGAAATTTTTCCAAAGGTGTGATTCCCCTGCTATGATGACCAGCATAGCGTTTCCCAGTACAAGGAGTGCCAAGATCTCCCTTTATGGATTTCATTCTGATCTGTATCATACAGAAATTTTCTAGAGCTGTTCTACTATTCCATATAATAGCCACTAGCCACATTTGTCTATTTAAATCTAAATACTTAAACATTTAATTAAAAACTGCATGTTTAGCTTCTCAGTCACGCTAACCATATTTCAAGTGTTCCAGAGCCACACGTGGCTATTGGCTAATGGACAGCACAGACAATAGGACATACTTAGCATCGCTGAAAGTTCGGCTGGGCAGCGCTGATTAGGACAGCTAAAAGCGTTACTCTATATAGTACATTACTGACTTTAGCCACTTTGAGAAAGATAAGTCAAGCCCTGGTAAACTCTGGCTCTCTTAAGGGAAAATTTAATATGCTTCATGTTCACAAGACCCCCAGATTCAACATGTGTAGCTGTGCATTGCTAACATTGAGTATAACATGGCCACGTCTGCCTCAGCGCTTTGGCTTCCCTTTCAAACACTGCCTCTTCCACACTTTCTCACCAGCCTAGGAATGTCTCCTGTATGGTAGGAAATAATCTCATCAAGTGATTTTAACCTAAAGTATCTCTCCCCTTCCACACACATCTCTAATGATGAAAATGTCAGGTTTTGGGGGAATTGCTTTTTAGCAGTTTCTCATCCTATGTTTAAAAACTAATTCATTTGCAATCTCAAAGTACAAGGCAAACAACCTGGGATGGGATAGCTTCTCTTATATAGAAGGATAACATGGAAGTAATAGAAGATGCACGAGAAATTAATAAACCAAACAAGGATGTTGAGAAAACAAAGCAGGCCCCCCACCTTGGCTCCATGAAAACACATCAAGAACTTAATATATGCTGATTGGATACTTGTCTCTCTGACATCACGATTTTTTAGCCACTTCACACAAGGCCTCCAGAAAAATGCAAAACAAATTTTATTACAGGAGATCAAGCAGAAGAACCTGATTAAATAACCACAGTGAAAAAGGCTAAAGCAAAAAACTAGCAATTATAGAGATCTCAAGTCCCAGAAAGTTTTGTGGACAAATGTACCATGATGGAGATTCATCTAAGGAAATGGTTTCTTCTGTGTGGTCAATGTGAAACTCTGCCAGGCCCAGGCAGGGGTGATGGAGGACGCCCTCCCTGGACAGGAAGAGCGAAGACGAGAGTTTGTAGCCTGGATCACAATGCACAAGAACACAATGAGAGATTGGGGGTCTCCAGCACTGTCAAACTCTTCCACAAAATTGATGAATTTAATGAAATTTTTAAGAGGATAATTAGATTATATGTGATTTATTGAAATACCTACAAATTTGAAATATAAAAAATATTTAAAAAATCAAGTAGCATTCAGTCTTTAAAGCTGTAAATTTTGCTACATTTTAGTCTTCTCTTTGTGCTTCTCTTTGTGTCTTTTCTTACCTTTTCCTCTTTTCTATTTTTTCCTTTCTTCCTTTTTGCCCTCTCCCACCCATACTATGAGCTTATATTTTTACTCACCTTTGGGGAAAAGGAGAAAATATAATTATCACTTTTTTTGTTAAATATGTTCAATGATCACTTTTCTGTTGCATGTTATAAACCCAATAATTTTCTAGTGTGGTCTTCCAAAACCATAGTGTTTATGTTGTTATAGCTAGAACTTTCCTTTCTAAACTTTAAGGAGAATTTATTTGTAAAAATTAGTCAAAATTAAATTTTTGATGTGATCAAAAGAGATCAATGTAAATTGTACCCAGATTGACTAATATATCCAAGGTCTGGAATGAAAAACTATGTTTCCTGGATGTCAAATGACATGCAGGCTGTCAATGACAGGAATCCAAGATGGAGAGAAAAATCATAGTGTATGTTGCAGTCGAAGACAAAAGTAAAGCCAAGTGAAATTGGAGATTGTATTGGTTTAACTGAATTGTTGTCCTTATATATAAAAAACAACCAAAATATACCTAGTAAAACTGATCCCAAATTTAATAGCATAGCTAAAAATTTAATTTCAGAGTTTTTGTACAGTTCACAAATGTTCATAAACACTAAAAAAAAAAACCCTACTTCTTGATTGAATTACAATCTGCTATGCAATTTTGAGGCCATGTATTAATCTACATAGATTTATTTTTCTTCAATTCAAATAGCTATTTTATCAATATGTGCCCTTTCCACTTAAGTGATTTTCACTTCATATGTCTACAAGTTGTTTTTATCTGAAATGCAAAGAATTATATATAATAGTTTTGTACTAGAATAAAAATATTTGCCTGCTAGGTTCAAAGCAAAAGAATTTAAAACTGTAAAGGCTAAATAATTCAGGACATCAAACCTGGTTGGGGGGCATCAGGAGAGAGAAAGGAGGGGGCTGAGTGGTGGTGAAGTCTAATCCCAGTTTTATGATTTCTGAGTGCAAATCATTATAATGTGTCAATCTCCAAGGAATGGAAAGTATTATTAATTGTAACTGTAAAGATTAATCAGTTCTAATTTCAATTTACATAATGTTCTAGGGCAGTGGATCTGAACTTTTTCAGGTGATACAGATCCCTAGGAGAACTCCTTTCCAAATACCAAGTTCCAAAAAGCTTCCAGACTCCATGCCGGCCACTCAGGAACTGCAGGTGAGTCACCCTCAGGAAGAGGTGAAAACCCTCTCAATCCTATCCACAGGTCATTGCCTCCGAGAAGTTTTAGCAAAACCTTGGAAACTGAAGCTAGCAGTAGAGAAAATGTAGATTAAAAAAAGGAACTCTAAGTGGGTGAGGGTGTGGGGCCAGGGACATGTGGGCTTCTTTAAAGTCCTTGCAGACTCCCACCTCCCAGGTCCTCTATAAAGATTCCATAAATCCTCAGCCACAACAGGCTGGAGGAGTGTGGAGCAGAGAAGTGATGCAACAGCAAGACCTACTCTTTGCTGAGCCTCTTCTGTGGTTTCAGGCATCTTGCTAAACAAATGCAGGGATTTGGGTATATTCAGGGATGTGGAGCCGTGTAAGAGAAAGTACGCAAAGCCACAAAATAAATAATAATAAAAACACGGCTGTCTTCCTGGAGTGACAATTTTCCTGTTGTTGGTATGGACTCGGTGTCTACTTCTTGGATACTCTGGGAGACACACAACAGATACTGTTCTTGGCCTCGTGGAACTTCCAGTTTAGTGAAATAGACAAGAAAGCACTGAGGAGAGAAAACAAAATGTGTATTTTTGGGGTGAAATCTGAGCCTTCACTAAAAAGTCTTGTTTGTGGCAGCTGACTGCAGGCCCCGTCTCCGCAGGCACCCTCAGGGCTGGATCACTGGCTAACAGAGGATCACCCAAGTGGAAGAGCTGGAGAAGCCGTGTTAACAGTGTGTTATTTAATCCTCTCGACAAGAGAAAATACGGCTACTTCCAATTTACGAGAGAAAGCAGGGAGTTTGAGAAATGAGGAGCCTTACCCCAAATCACACAGCTGCTGGCATCTGAGTGAGTCAGTGCCATGCCAAAGTCTACTTATTTTGAACCACTAAATTACACTACCTCTAGGTGTTTCCCACTTTTTGTTTCCCCTTGAAATCTGGGCTCATTCAGGATTATGCAGGCTAGTTTAAGATTCTCTTTGGAAGGAGAAAGGTTTGGCTTGATTTGCATTCTAAATATTTCACAGTGGTAAGGAAAGCTATTATTATACCCATTTTATGGTGAGGAAGCTGAGCCACTTGCCAGCTGAGGTATCTGGCTGGGTTAAAAACAGAATCCGGGTTGTCAGACTCTTCATTCTTCTTGACTAACTCCCAGCCAGGCAACACTATTGTCCAAGGGTCTTTCTGTACATGGGATTCACATGACAAAGAGTGATACTAACTCTGCTAATAAAAAAAAAATGGTGAAAAAAAATAATCATAATCCACTGAAAAAAATTGGTTACTTTTAACAGAAAAGGGAGAACCTATTCATCATAAATGAATCAGAAATTTAGAATTAGAAATTTAGAATCAGAAATTTAGCATCAGTGGCAGAGCTGTGGGATTCAGACAAAACGAAGCTCAACACTTATCCTTCCGCTGAAGAGGGTAAATGGTGTGACAACAGGACAGAAATGACCTCTTGGACTTGCCTTTAATCTTTCCAGTCTTCTTCCTTCAACTATTCTCTCTAGAAGCTAGATAGATTTATATCTTTGTTTTCTATGGAAAAAGATATCATTTTAACACCATTTAATATCCTAGAATTATTGTAGTAATTAATTCATATGTGGGACTCATTCCAAACAGTAGGATGAAGATTTCTATCTTAATGATTTTCCTAACACTTTTTCTCTCCCAGTATTTTCAAAGGATGAGGCACTACTGGATTTTTAAGATTTGTATGTCTTTCAAAATAAGTGCCAGCTTCATAGATTCCTGTCAATTGATATTCCAATTTCACTCAGGATACAAGATTTCCTTTATCTGACAGATTCAAGAAATTTTATGCTAGATTTAGTGACATTTTATGCATCTTGAATTTAGGAGATTTTAATTCTCTATTTTCTACCTGGCAAAAGGTTCACAAGTTAAACTCGGGTGGAAGTGTTATTCATCTCTACATATGACATGCGTGCACCTCACACTGGGACTTTGGGGTCTCCCCAAAGTTTCTTGAAGTCTTCTCATTCATCAAGAAGACAACAAACGTCAAACATGGCCATTTATATGTTGAGGTCAACTTTTCAGAGTGTATTATTGTAGATCTACCTTGAGACAAATGACAAGGAAATCATAATGATGCTTGATTGTTCCTTAAGATGCCAGGATAACAAGCCTGA